GACAGACCCGTCTGTGCCTTCAATATGAGCTTTAAATCGCTGCCATCGATGACAGAAGTGTCCGGATTGGGGACATTCACTGCAAACAAATGCAATCAATATATGGTGGCAATGGACGCATGGCGAGAGCCTTACGGGCGGGTATGTTATGTCTGCGACTTGAAGCGGACCGATAGACATAACCGGAGTCGTCGGTGGTGTCCGAGTCATCGTCCTCGTCGTTGTCAGAACTGGAAGACCTGACAAACCGGATGTGACCTCTTCTGATCAGATATCTTAAGATAGTGTTGAGATCGGGGTCCGGATCCGAGTCCGACATCGACTCGTCGTTTGTCTCTCTATTACTCTCATTGGTCTCGATGTCAGACATGAGTCGAGATCTCCTCACAAATGGGTTATTGTCTGAAATGTTAGACAAGTGAGAGCCCATTAATCCATTCAAATGACCACAAAAAGCACTAATTAATGGACAATTGAGTGACACTTGAATGCAATCAACAAATACTGGAGACAATCATTACTCGACTTCACATTCAGTGAAACATTTGGTGTTTCACACAAACAAATGAGTGTTTAGTGATTAGTGGACTCAATACTCGTTATAATTAGTTTGATTGGTATGACAATCAAAGCTTACAATCAGTGACACAGTCATACAAACAGTCGCGAAATGTGTAGCAAATGGCAAATCATGTCATAAGAAGTAAGTGAAGGGTTTCACAGTTTTCAGACCCAACACAACACTCCACACGTTATTTACCAATCATTTCATTCAAATGCCATTTAAACGCATTTACATGAGAATGAGAGTACATTTGCTTTCAATACACGTTCACTACAAACCACACAAACAATTGCATTCACTGTCCATAGCATTGGTGGCCAACATATAGCCCACAACTGACCACTCAATACCGGTTGACACGAACTCTGCACTCAAACCACAAACCACTGCAACAATCACTCGCAGACCAAACACACAGACCTGTCATATGGTGTATGTATAATGTGTGCCAACTGTATGTCAATTGTGAACTTAGTTTGCACTTACAGTCACTGCAATACCGCTCATATAGAGTGCTCCCATTGCACCCCCAATCACACCCCCACTCCCCCTGTAATCCCCGAATGCAATGAGTGATGCATTTTGAGTACTCAATCACTAAATGGTAAACAATTAGCAAATCTAATGAGTGCTGCAAAGTTGGTGCTCGCGGTGGGGGATGGCATGTGGGGGGGATGTGGTGGTGATGAGAGCGCATGCGCTTGGAGGTGGAGGTGTTGGTGTTGTCTGGCTGTTCATGAATCGTCTATCAGTTGTGTTGTGAGTGAATGACTGAATGCAAGCTCTCGTCACTCGAGACGCCATTTATATTGTGAGACATATTCACTGATTAGGCGTTAATTCAGTTCAATCGACACTTTCAATGAGTGTTTGTCCGTCGCTTGTGTCCACTTGAGTGCCCGACAGTGCATGAAATGCAGCCATACATGCATTGTATGAGTATTTCCAGTGTGCAATCAAATGAGAGTTTTAGCGCTTTATTGAAGTTTTGAGTTATGTTTACATTCAATGCAATACTCAATGCACTGACAGTGAAGTCAACACTTCCTCACGTGTTGTTGTTTACCAGTCATGACAACAGTTAAGACAACACCGATTGTCACCCAAACTCATCCACTAATGATCACAACTCATGCCTAACATGAATGACAGCACTAATAGTACGGACTCTGCGGAGTCAACTGAACCCAAGACAGACCTAAACCACAAAAGTTTGGATAATGCGGACAAAAGTGTGAACAGTTGTGGAGCCAAAGGCGAGATCACTCGACAAATGTCTTTGCCGTCAACTCTGCCATCGATGCAAACGGCTAACCATTTGCCCACAAATTGCGGTCCATTTCTATCACCTCCGCAGTCGACCTCCAGTGCGGATCCGGTGCACGACTTGCCGCCAGAGCTGCTGCAGAAAGGGTGGCGCTGCTTCTGGAGTAAGCGAGAGGGCAGACCCTACTTCTTCAACAAGATCACCAACGAGTCCTTATGGGAAACGCCGCGCATTGGCACCCAATACGACCCCATCACCGATCCGCTCGGCATCCAGTCATCAGTTCCGCCCACACCTACCGACCCGACCACTCCCACCACAGCGCCGCCTAATTTCCAACATTGGCCACAACGAGCCGGCGATAAGAGGTCCCTATCGATGGACGACGCCATGAGTGGTCAGCCGCCGC